ACCAATGAACAGAGCTCAGAACTGAACAAATTGACAAGGCATACCATCATGTCTTCATGGTTTATAGTGATACAACAGGACCGTGACCTTTCTAGTTAATAATCCAAATCAGTGGAGACTTGATTTTCTCATTTATCAGAGAGGTGCAATCCATATATTTTGGGCCAGCGACTGAGGACTCGACACCTTCTATTCAGATATTAAGAGTCTTGTGCCCATCAGGGGGTGGAGCAAAGCCTGACCGATCTAAGGAGGCAGCCGGTCATGTGCTGATGAAAGTTGTGGGCAGAGATGGGGTCAGCGAGGGCTGACAAGCAGCCTTGCTAAGCTCTGCTTTCCTCACTAGGAAATGGAAATACTAATGTCTTCTTGGATATTTGGGGCGACTGAAGAGAGAGCTTGTGGGGACATTGAAGATGGGGTCCAGTGCATTTTAAGAATCTAGTAGACAATAACCACCACTGTTGTTTACTATTGTCAAAATGAATAAGCAGCTTTCAAAGTCTTTGTCATCTGGATTTAAACATTTTAAACTGGATTTAAGTTTTTTACATCATGTCAAATTGCTTCAAGGAAAGTACCAAAACCACAGTTGAAACAGCCTTGTCCTTAAGTCGGCTGGGGGGTGACGGAGCATGGTGGCTACATGCTTTGCTGTGTTTTAGAGGAAGACTTTAGAGGGCTGTTAAGTGACGCTACACACAACCATCATTCTGTAGATCTTACTTTCTCCTTTGCTACTTTTAACCTCGCATTCCTCTCTGCTCATGCCCCCACCCCTTCCGCACGTGCTAGGGCATCTTAGGGTGTTAAATTCTCCCAGAACACACTATGTGGAAATTTTGGAGGAAGAGATTCAGGCCCCTGTTGAGTTTAAGAACAACAGTTGTAGAAGTGAGTGAAAGCCTAGTGAGCAACTATGTATGAGGTCCATCTGTATTTGTGTTGTTCTCATTGGTTATTAAAGAAACTGCCTTGGCCTAGTTGATAGGGCAGAACTCAGGTAGGCGGGGAAGACAGAACAGAATTCTGGGAGGAAGAAAGCAGAGATAGGCAGATGCCATGAATCTCTGGCCTGAGTTGGACGTAGGTTAGAATCTTGCTGGTAAGCCACAGTCAAGTGGTCCTTTACAGATTTAATAGAAATGGTTTAATCAAGATGTGAGAGTTGGCCAATAAGAGGCTAGAGCTAATGGGCCAGGCAGTGATTTAATTAATACAGTTTCTGTGTGATTATTTTGGGGGTTAAGCTAGCCGAGTGGCGGGATAAGGTCCTCTCCTCCATGCTACAGAACAATTGTCTAACACCCACTGGATAAGCCCTTTCTACTCAAGCTGTGGTCTGTGGGGTGAAGAGAATGTTAGAGACCCAAACTCTCTGAGTCTAACCCATACCACCTGGAAAGAAGCTGCGTTTTTGACAAGGTTCCTAGTTTCTGACAAGCTATTTTTCTGTCCAGCTTATGAGGCAGGCAAACACTTCTATCCAGAACAAACCAGGTCAACAGCATCTATACGGAGGCATCTGTCTGCTGGGGGACCTGTTTCTCATCTTCAGTGTGGTTCTCTTCGCACAAGGGAGATGGCCTGGTATTGCAATTGGGTCTATCCAGTGTGCTAGCAGGGCTATCCAGTGTGCTAGCAGGTCT